GACTGGAAGAGATCTATATTTGTTCCCATTCCAAAGAAAGGTGACCCAACTGAGTGTGGAAACTACAGAACAGTGTCATTGATTTCACATGCAAGCAAGAGTCTGCTGAAGATCATCCAAAAACGATTAGAACAGCACATCAGCAGAGAACTGCCAGAAGTCCAGAGAACTGAGATACAATTACAGTCAAGAAACCTAGCAAGGCACCCTTGACCAAGTGATGAAGGTTAACATTACAGTTATATCATCGGGATATCCTGTAACTCATATGATAAAAGGACATTTCACTTCTGTGGTATTTTTTTCAAAAACGCTTAGCTCCTGTTTAGTCTCAAGAAAAGCCAGAAAAATTCAGATTGGGGAACACTTTGCTGTCTCTGATTTTTCAACACAGTACCACAGAGTTCATTCTTACTCACCTATAACACCAACAATGAGAGACCTGGCTCCCATCATTCATTAATTATATTTTGTTCATTCCCTGTATACTTGTATCAACTCAATCTCACTGCCATGAAATTAGAATTTCTGTTTCACAGCTGTCCCTCTACTGGGTTTCTGAAGCTGCAGCCTGCATTGGAGAAAACTGCTCGTCTTCCTCTCAAGGAGCTGCAAGTGTATTTGAGCTTCCAGAGAGGTACAATGTAGTGCTCACGTTAGCCCTGAAACTGCTCTGGGCTAGGCCAGTGGCATTTTCAAATTCTTAAACCTGTACCTCAAAGAAAAAAAATTTACCATTAAGCTTGAGGCAGTATTCTTCAAGTCTGAGAAAGATACAAAAACAAGCAAAGACTAGAAAACTGTGACAGCCCAGAGGAGACTGGTATCTAAATTCAATGTGGTACTCGGGATCAGATCCTGGAACAGAAAGAAATGAAGGAAAACATTGGAAAATCAAATAGTTTTGAAGTTAATTAGTAGAGCGTGGGGTGGGTGAGTAAAATTTGAACTCCCTGTCTGGGAAATTCTGATGTAAAAAATTACATATTTCTATAGCCTTCTTCGTCTTCCAGAACTAACAGATATAATGATTTTTTTAATTAGGTATTTAATGATAGAGTTGTGTTATTAAGCAAAATATATTTCCACTCCATTAACACGATGGCCACAATGCACCCTCATTTTTACAATAATAATTACTCACACTGTAAAGGAAGGGTTTATATAACACACTCCACTAAAAAAATTCTTTCAGTATTACTTTTCTTTTTTTGGTATTACCGTTCAAACTGGTTCTCAATTTCCCAACATACACTGTTTAAAAGATAACAGAGTAGAGATTTATTCAGTAACAACACCAGAGAGGGCCGTTTACATACACTGTTCTGTATCCCTTTTCGTGCTTAGTGTGGCTGGTTCATAAAAGCGATTCCCAGGAGAATTCTTCTGGGATTAAAGCATGACAAGCAGAACAGAGATCCGGAACAGAAGAGGTGGGCAGAGTAGGAAGTAAAGTGAACATTTAAAAAGTCACTCCCCGCGCCAGCCCCGGAATAAAGACCCCTGTGGATCTCTAAATACTTCAAAGCACATCCGACAATCACATAAAGTTGAATTCAAGGGGTCACACATTGATCTCATCTTTCTCCTCGCTTTCCTAACAGGGTCAAACCCTCCAGTTACCCACTGCAAAAGCCGCCGGGGACACAACGGAGGTAGCTGCTGGACAAATGCTTCTCACCGTCGGGGTCAGCAGGAAGGAACTCGTAAGCTGTATAACGAACTCAAGCTGAGGTCCTGGCACACAGACGCTAGTAAAAAGGTCGGAAGCCTGTGTCCTGGCCCTCCATATTCAGGTCGTCCCCTGGGTCCACGCACACCCTCGGTCCATCACAGCCCCCCTCTTATCCTAGGGCCCTCCGCCTCGCCTCCTCGTCTGCCTGGACCTGCCTCGACATGCTGACAGCTCGCTCACCGTTTACCATCCCCGGAGCCTTCTCCACCAGGTTACGGACAAATTGGGCCATGATTCCAGGACCCCAAACCCGAAGCCCGTAGCAGCCGGCTGAATGTCACCTCCGGGAGGACCCTGCCACAGGACCCCGTCCAACTTCCAAGGTCAGGCCTCCTCTTTCTGTGCCAGTCCAAGATATTTCAGTTTCTGACTCTCTTTTCGGGATTCAGTCGGTCTTTTTTCCCCTTAAGTACAAGGAGAGAAGGTGGATATGAGAAAATGAGATCAGTGAGTACGTGAAGATCGATGGAGTTCCATGGAGAAACAGGCATTTCTTAGGACAGCCCCGCCTGGAGGCCCAGAAGACTGGCGCGGCGAGACAAGCAATGCGCCTGCGCGGGATGCTGCGCGCGCTTTCCCTGGCACAGGGGGTCAGATGTGGAGGTGCAGCGCCGGGATTTTCTAATTAGAACCACTGTTCCACAGAATTAGAGAAAGTCTGCGGCGACACATGTAGTGAGGAGTAGAGCCGACACGCGCAACTTCTTACTTGACTCACTTAATTCCTTAACTGATTTTTTTGGACCCTCTCTTCCCTTTTCCCCTCTCATTGCAAGCCAGTTTCCCTGATCAACCTCAAGGAGTTAAACAACTGTGAGAGACAAAATAGCATTTATTGAGAATCCCTACTATTCTAAGAATTTTGAAATTTAGGGAAAGCCGGTAGGCTCTGGTGGGAATTGCGCTGTTAACCTAAAGGTGTTCTGGCGGTTCGAACCCACCAGCTGTTCGACCTGAGCAAAATCTCTTTCCACGTGATATACAAGTTTCCCCAAACCTGCCGGAAGGTCAGCTATGAGTGAGTGACTATGCTAAGTACTTAGAAATATTAGGAAATCCTGCTAGATTCTGTCTCCTTTGAGACTGGGATTGGTAAGTGGTATGTTCCGGGCCATAATGACCGCTGAAATCTGAAAAAGCGTCAGTTTCAGTAGGCATGGTCCTGAAATGGGAAGACCTAGTGGAGCTGTCTGGGTGTAAAAAAGCAGCCATATACTATCTCAACTGAAAGTTTAAGCATTAATGATAGAAACGATGTAGAAAACTACTGAGTAAACAAAAGCCCTGTAGCCTCGAGCATCCTGAGAAGTAAAACTGACTGGTAAAATGATTAAACGTAGGAAAAAGTTTAGGATCCAAGAAAAGCATTTCTGTGAAGAAATGATTCACCTGCCTGAAATACTGCAGAGAAGTCAAGGATGGGAAAGCTAATTTAGAAATACGGACCTTTTTTTTCCTTTCCCCCCCTTTTTTTAATTAGCTAGAACTGTGTGAAGAAGCCTTGGTGGTGGTATAGGCTGAGCAATGGGATGGTAATGAAAGGTCGTAAGTTTGAACTCACCAGCCACTCTAGAGGAGAAAGAGAAGCACTGTGTTCCTGTAAGATCTGTAGGAACCCTATCCTAAGAAACCCCATGGGGCAGTCTATTTTGTAGGGTGTTGAGTTAGGACTGACTCCCAGCAGTGAGTTTGGGCAGGCTTTTTTGTTTGTTTGTTTTGTTTTGATTTTTAAGAGTAATAGGATAGAAGCCAGAGTGAATAGATGGATCAAAGAAAGAAATACGGTTTTGAAGGGATATTTTAAAGGGGAAGTGGAATAGAGAGGCACTTTGGTGGTGCAGGGCTTAAGCTTTCAGCTGCTATTTGAAAGGTTAGTGGCTTGAACCTACCAACTGCTCATCTGGAGAATAAATAGACCGACCCTTGGAAACTGCCCCACAGGGTTGCTCTGAGTTAAAATTGATGACAGTGGGTTAGGTTTTTGGTTTGAACTGGAAGTTAAGAGAGAGAAATTATAAAGAAGCAAAGAAGATGGAGGATTAGTTTTGGGATGGAGAGACCTTTTCTCTAGACAGAATAACAACAGAAGTTTGAAAGTGAAGATTCTGAAGATCTCTATCTTCTCAGTGAAGCAGAAGCCAAGGTCATCTGAGTGTGAAGGGTAAGTGGAAGAGTAGGGAAGAACTGGAAGAATGGAATTAAAGTTTGGAGTAACTGGAGAAATAAGAACACACAGAAGGGTTTTATTAGAGACCAGGTTTGTGGTCACATCACTGTAAAGATTGCCATTTTTCTTCATCAGTGGCCTGTCCCTTGGGTATTGGATTGGGTTTATTTAGCTGACACCTTGAATGGCAAAGGTCATAGACACAAAGAACAGAAAGCAGAACATGATGTTATTAGAGCTGTCGATTTGGCTCTTACTCATATCACCCATATATGTTTTTGTTGTTATGTGCCATTGAGTGGCCAGCAACTCAAAGTGACTCTATATACAATAGCTCTGCAGCCTGCCCTGTCCTGAGCCAGTTTCACTGACTCAAACTCACCTACCCCATTGCCCTAGTTATTTTATCAATCCATTTTATCCGAGGTTTTCCTCTCCTGCGTTGTCCCTCCACCCTTCCAAGCATGATGGCCTTCTCCAAGACTGGTCCCTCCTGGCCATGTGCCCAAAGTATGTAAGATGGAGCTTCAAAATCCGACTCCAAGAAATCTAGAGGACAACTACCTGGCCAACTGACTGAAGAGATCCATATTTATTCCCATTCCAAAAAAGGATGACCCAACATTGTAGAAATTATTGTACAATATCACTCATCACACAAA